CAAAATTAGCCTTGCTTCTTAATCTTGATGGCAAGGGTGCGTCCCGACGAATGGCTTCCACAGTGGCCATCATGAGCTTCTTCCATCATTTTTCGAGCTCCGATGCCGTGTATGCATCGAAGGTAAGGCCCGGAGACACTGCGCTTATACAGTCGGTCTTCCATTATGACCGCGAGCTTTTGGCTCTTAGTTTCCTGACTTCCTATTTGTCCTGCAGGACTGTGCCATCTCGGATGTATTCGTCATGATCGTTAGGGTCATCATTGGTTCTTTCGTCCGGCGGAGGCTCATCTAGCTTGTACATTGGGTGATCGAACTCGTCGACTCTGATGCCTGCAGGTGTTGGTTCGGACTCCGTCAAGGCCTGGGTTTTGTTACTAGGGCCTGGGTCTGTCGGTGGAACCCAAACTTCGTTCACCGTTTGTTTTTTGGTGGGAGATCTATGCTCGGTTTTTTGATACCTTCCACCGGGATTAACCGTTTGATTAAAGGTCTGAAGTGGAAGCTAATGTAGTTAGTGCATCCGCAGGAGTATTCTCTCCCTGGGGAATTCGAGTCAATTCAAATTTCTCGAACTGCTCGACGATGCTGCGCACTACATTTAAGTAAGCTTCCATCCTTGTATCTCTGGTTTCATACTTGCCTTGAAATTGGCTGGTGACGAGCTGGAAGTCGCTGAAAGCGCTTACCTCGCGCGCACATATCCCGAGGGCTAATTTTAGTCCAGCTATGAGGGCTTTGTATTCGGCTTTGTTGTTCCATCACCTCTCATGTCGGAGATATGGTTCGAATTCCGACCCCGGAGCCTTGTCTTAACGAGGCTCCATCTACATAAAGGGACCATGTTTTGTTCAGTGAGATTTTGTCTTGCGCTTCCAGAGCTAGTTCGATAACGAAATCGGCTAAGACTTGCGCTTTGGTGCAGGTTCTAGTTTGGTATTCGATATCATATTCGCTGAGCTTGATTGCCAATTTCGCGAGGCGCCTGGATTGACTGGGACTGTGGAGTATGGTTTGCAGCAGTTGCGAGGTCAACTCCACAATGGAGTTGGATTGGAAGTAGGGTCTCAGTTTACGCGCCGAAACTATGACGGCCAAAGCTAGTTTTTCCATTGCTGGGTAACACGTTTCGGCGTTGATTAGCGATTTGCTCACATAAAATATGGGTTTTTGTTTGCTTTGTTCTTCGCGAACTAACACGCCACTGATCGCTGCGGGTGATACCGCGATGTATAGGTAGAGGGGTTCACCTTCTACATGTTTCGCGAGGATAGGAGGTTCGCTCAAGTAGTTTTTCAGTTGCTTGAAGGCTTCCTCGCACTTGTCGTCCCATAGGAACTTTTTGTTCCCTTTGAGCAGGTTGTAAAATGGTAGGAATTTGTCGGTTGATTGGGACATAAACCTGTTTAAGGCTGCTATTCTACCGGTCTGCCTTTGTACTTCCCTCGTGGTCTTAGGACACGGCATTCCGAGGAAGGCGTTTATTTGCTTCAGGTTTGCTTTGATTCCCCGCTCGGTTACGAGGTAGCCAAGGAACTCCGAATGAGCATTTGGCTGGGTTCAGCTTCATGTTGTATTGATGTATGTTAAAACATTCTCTGAGTTGTGCGACGTGATCGGTTTCTTTTTCGGATTTCACAAGCATATCGTCGATGTAAACTTCCATCGTCTTCCCAGCTGGTCGGCAAACATTTTGTTTACCAAACGTTGGTAGGTTGCGCCAGCGTTTTTTAGTCCGAAGGGCATCACTCGGTAACAGTACGTGCCTCGGTCTGTAATGAACACAGTCTTTTCTTGGTCCTCGGGATGCATTTTGATCTGGGTGTATCCCGAGAAGGCATCCATGAAGGATAACAACTGGTGTCCAGCCGTAGCTTCGACTAACCGGTCGATATGCGGAAGCGGGAAGCTGTCTTTAAGACAGGTCTTGTTCAGGTCGGTGAAGTCGATACAGACTCTCCACTTCCCTTTTTTCTTTTTTACTACGACGAGGTTAGCTAGCCAGTCGAGATATTTTACCTCCCTGATGGATCCGACTTTTAGAAGTTGGTCTACCTCGTTGTTGACTACTTAGCCCGCTCGGAGCCGAGCTTGCGCCGTTTCTGTTTTACGGGCTTAAAGGTAGGATCCACGTTTAATTCGTGCGAGGTGACTCCGAGGTCAATACCGGGCATGTCGGACGTGGACTAGGCGAAGGTGCTAATGTTTTCTTTTAAGAAGCTCAGCAGTTCGTTTTTGATGGTGGGGGAGAGGACTCTCCCAATTCCTACGCATTTTTTTCTTGATGAGTCTCGTTGATGCATACTTGAACAACAAGCTCTCCACAGGATTCTCCCATGGAGGGATCTTTGTTGTTCTGTATTCGTCGCATTGCAAGTTCATCATCCTTCTGTGATTGCTATGCGAGAGATCGTTTGGCTTGTTTAAAGTATCCCATATAGAAGTGTCGGGCAGCTGGTTGGCAGCCACGCACAGTTTGGACTCCTTTCGGAGATGGGAATTTTACGCATTAATGGTATGTAGAAGGGACTGCCTTTATGGCGTAGAGCCATGGCCTGCCTAGGTTGGCGTTGTATGGCGCACTTCGGTCTACAACCATGAAGTCAACCGCTTTTCGTACTCCTTCTGCTATCACTGGGAGTTGTATAGTTCCCAGGGAGTAGCAAGTCTCTCCGGCAAAGCCGGTTAGGGGTGTTTTTTCGCCTCTAAGCATGGAGGAGAAGAAACCCATTCATTTGAAAGCGTCGTAGAATAGGATATCTACAGAGCTTCCAGTGTCAATCATGACGCGAGACTGTTCGAATCCGCTCACATCGAACTGGATTACAAGTGCGTCACCGTGTGGTTTGTCGAGGCGGAGCGTTTCGCTTTCCCAGAAGGAGATCTCGTGATCTAGTCCCTCGAGGAGTTGCTTTTGCCTAACATTCGACTCGACTTTTCTTTTGATGTGCCTTGATCGAGTTTATCGTGTCGCGGCATAGCTGAGAGCTTCCGAAGATAAAGTCTACTCTCTTTGGTGCTATAGGCGCCACTCCCCCCCCCCCCCCCCCGAAAAGAACAAAGCTTATCTAAGCGTGAGTCCGTTGGTTTTTTAGGCGCGGGATGGGGGTGATCCTTCACATATGCTGAGGTCTCTGAAAATCAGGCCGATCCACTTCCGAGGAGCTGGTGGTGGAGACTCTGGAGGTTCCTCACTGTCAGATCGCTCCCTTTTTTTAGGGGTAGGCTTTTTCTTTTCAGTTTTGGGAGGTTGTTCCATTTCTTTCTCTTCGGCATTTTCCTAGGTTTTCTTAGTTTTTTCGGGGTCGCCTTTCGTGGGTAACATCCTTATCTGAGTTCGGCATTCCTCAGTGGAATGTCCTCTCTTTTTGTGATATGTGCAAAATTTGCTTTCGTCAAAGTTTGCTTTTTTAGACTTGCCCTTCTTAGATTCGGGGCTATCTATGGCATAGGTGTGTTGTCTCTCACCCTTGGGTCTCTTTTTGGAGGTCTTCTTCGCGGGAGGAGCACCTAGGCTTTCGCCCTTGCGAGCTGCAATATCTTCTTTGAGGAAGATGAACGGGGTAGCTCGGTAAGGCGTCGTCCAATGAGACGGGAGTTTGTACGGTGATTTCTTTAAAGAATTCCAACGTAACTACTAGTCCTTGTTGCAGAGCTAGTAGGGCGACTTCTTCGTTTGGATGAGTTTTCTGGGCTTTGATAGCCTTAAACTTGTCCATAAAGGATCTGAGGGACTCTCCGGGTCTTTGTTTGAGTTTCCAAAGGTCAGCCTCGGTTTTTCACGATTAGATAAAAACGGAGTACTGCTTTAAGAAAACAGACACGAGCTGAGTAAAGTTGTCTATTGAGTTGGGTTCGACTGTAGAGAACCACTCTTGCGCAGGGCCCGTTAAATTTTCAACGAAGAAATGGCAGTGTCCTGCATCTTGTTCTTTGTCGTTTAAATGAGCTCCAGTCATGGCGAGCCTAAAAGCTCTGAGATAGGGTCGCGTATCGCCTTTCCCAGCATACTTTGGGAATTTGATTTTACCGATGTCAGGAAGTCAGACATCGGTGGCTCACCATATGAAAGGTGTTCTTCGAGTTTCCTCGATTACCCGATCAATGTCTGGTGCTGAACTGGTCGCGTTATGAACTTGCAAACTCAACCGCTGGATATCGTTATGAGTTCGATCGGCGTATCTCTCAAAGATTTCCTGATCGATCATAGAGCGGGGACTATCGCGATCTCTAAGGTTATCACGGTTCCCGTTGTCCTGTCCGATTGGGAGATCATAGCGAGTCTCTCTGGCGGCGAACGAGCCTTCGTTGCTCGTTCTTGGGTCATCACGATGGGATTGCGGATATCCTTGATTTGCTGTGTTCGCTTCGGTCCGGAGGTGCCGTTGCGGGACCGAGCTCGGGTTTTGTTGGAGGTGAAAACCACACCCCGGTTTTCTCCGGTACAAACCGAGATCGGCAAACCATAAGCCCGGTTTACGAAGAGACGTACCGAGAAAAGATGGGCCGAACAAAGATGGGCCGAATACGGCCCATCAGGCCGAGGTCGGTGAGAAACCTCTCGAAGAAATAGAGAGTTTCCATGAGCTCGGCCGAAACAGGAAAGTTTCCTAATGGAAAAAGGAAACTTGGGAGAGAAAAGGAAACTCCTCTCGGTCCCATATCGTCTAAGGCAGGCTTGAAGACCGACTTAGGAGATATATATAAAGGGAGACGAATCGACACCAGAGAACACAAGTTATTTTCCCGAGAAGACTTAAAGACTGAGAACTCATTACAATAGCTTCTTAGTCGCATTAAGTCTTAGTTCGTTATTACCTATCAAAATAACCGAACTCAGTTGTATTTTGCTTGATTCGATCTACTAAAACCGAGTTTCCGATCTAAATTACTGTTTAGTCCCTTGTCGATATTTGCATATCAACAATTGGCGCGCCAGGTAGGGGGCTTAAACAGATTTCTCAAGTTTTAGATCGGACTTCGGAAAGATTGAATCAGCGATGGCAGACCAAGCCAACATTCACGAAGAAGGAAACCCTCTCGGTGGAAACAACGCTAACGCCCCAACAGAACAAGGAGGAAGAGCTCCTGGAGAAAGCACTGGAACTATAGCCGGCCAAACCCCCGCAGCCGTAGGAGGTTATGGAACCGAACTACTGCTCCAAGTGTTCAATGCCCAGTTTGAGGCTATCAACAAAAGAAGCGAGGAACGCTTCAGTCAGATGGCGGCACAGATCGCCGAGCTCAGTCAAGCACGAACTCCTCTTCGAGTTCGGAACATCATAGACGATCTTAATACTGACGGTGATCCAGCCGGAACTATGAGATCTGCCGCAGTCGGGTCAGCGAATGCACCAGCGTCGGATTTAAGCCGAGACGCCGAGCTCGAAGCAATGAAGGCGCAGCTTCGCGATATCACCTCAAAAATACACCAAGCCACGAGCGCGGCTCTGGAAATCGAGCGCGTCATTCAGGAAACACAGAAGACTCCCTTCACGTCGCGCGTAGCAGGAACGCCGGTCAAACACATGGAGAAACTAAAGATAAAAGTTTATGAAGGCAACTCTGACCCCCGACACTTCTTGACATCATTCGGCATCTGCATGAACCGATACCAATTCAGGTCCGCCGAGGAAAGAGATGCGGTTCAGTGCCAACTGTGTGTGGAAAGTCTGGGAGGAGTAGCCCTCGACTGGTTCTCACGGCTCGAAGCCAATTCAATCGACAACTACAAGGAGTTAACAACGGCTTTCGTCAAACACTTCTCCATGTTCATTGGACAGAACACCAAGAACTCCGAACTCTGGCAAATAGCTCAAGGACCAAGCGAGAGCCTTCACGACTTCATCCAGCGCTTCAAGACGATCGTCGCCAATTGTACGATTAGCGATGAAGCTGCTCTCTTATGTCTTCAAAAAGGAGCTCGGATAAAGACTAGCTTCCGAAGCGCGATCACGCATAACCCTCCGCAGACGTTAGAAGATGCGTTACACCGAGCTAATACTTACACTGCTGAAGAAGAAGAAGAAGCTGCGTACGAGCAAAGTCACTCAACGAAGCAACCCGAATGTCCGAAAGTCGCGACTAATGAGCCGCAGTCAGGATACGGTCGAGGATATGAGAATCGCAAGAAGTTCTACGCCAACGCAATCCAACAACCGAACAAGCAGTGGAACAATAAATGGGTCCGCGGTGAAGAAGACCAAGACGAGTCATTATTCTGCGAATTCCATAACCGTAGAGGCCACAGCACCGAAGAATGCAGACATCTGCGAGAATACCTACTCGGCCTATATCGAAAGGAACCAATCTCGATCGATGATCTCCGACGTTCGAACGTGTCTAAGAGCGGCGGGCAACTCTCAATTGACGATCTCCGTCGTTCACATATGCCTCGACCAAACAATGAACAGCTTGAGAAAGCATCCGCCAAAGATCCACCAACTCCACCGGCTTTACCGACACTACCACCGCCACCACCAAATCCACCTGTTTTGCCCGAGCAACAGAAACGGAATCGTGATGACCGAGCACCAGAGAATCACGCTCCTAAGGCGCGGAAACGCGTCAACATGATAATGGGGGCCATCGAAGCTTGCAGTTATTCGGTCCAAGCCATCAAAGAGTACAGCAGACAGGCCGCCAGCGCGCCCAATGCCCCGCATGATCCGCCGAAGGGAACGCCCTTGGTATTTACCGAGGCCGGTACAATCGGGCTGCATAAACCACATAACAACGCCCTCGTCGTCGAGCTGCTCCTCGACGACGTCGAAGTTAGCCGCATTCTGGTCGATACGGGCAGCTCGGTTAACGTTATCTTCAAGGAAGCACTTGACCAACTTGAGTTGGCATCAGATAGGATTGAACCGTTTATCGAACCACTTACCGGATTCGATGGGGAATGTTGTATGACGGTCGGCATGGTCAACATTCCGATCTACGTCGGCGGAGTCGCAAAGATTATCAAGTTCCTTATCCTCGATAAACCGGCGATCTACAACGCTATTCTCGGAACACCCTGGCTACACGCAATGAAAGCAGTCGCCTCGACGTACCATCAATGCCTAAAGTTCCCGACTCCCGACGGTGTTTATACTCTCCGAGGAAACCAAGCCGTTGCTCGATCGTGCTACATAAACGAATGCAGACTTCATTCGGCCAACCAAGCTTGTGTTATTAGCTCGTTAGGACCGATTGACAAGCTCATCGTCCAGAATACAAAACCTAAACAGGAGTCGATCGTTCAAGTTTGCATCGACGAACTAAGGCCAGAGCGTCAAGTCGGAATCGGCGCCGAGCTCGACTCAGTAATCCGCGAGCCACTCATTCACTTTCTGAAACAACATTCATCGACCTTCGCTTGGTCGGCAGAAGATATGCCCGGGATCGATCCACAGATCGCGTGTCACGAGCTCAACATTGATCCCACGTATAAGCCGATCAAGCAGAAACGCCGAAAGCTCGGACCAGAGAAAGCACAAGCCGTGAACGATGAGGTCGAGCGTTTACTCAAAGCCAGATCTATCACCGAAGTCAAGTATCCAGATTGGTTGGCAAACCTCGTGGTGGTAAAGAAGAAGAATGGTAAATGGAGGATTTGCGTCGACTTCACCGACCTCAATAAGGCGTGTCCGAAAGATAGCTTTCCATTGCCTCATATCGATCGCCTTGTGGAAGCAACTGCCGGAAACGAACTCCTCTCGTTTATGGATGCGTTCTCCGGTTACAATCAGATTCTCATGCATCCGCAAGATCGAGAGAAGACATCGTTCATCACGGACCGTGGCATCTACTGCTACAAGGTCATGCCCTTTGGCCTGAAGAATGCTGGAGCAACGTACCAACGACTGGTAAACCGGATGTTCGCGAGCCAGCTCGGACGAACTATGGAAGTTTACATCGATGATATGCTCGTAAAGTCACTCATCGCTTCCGATCACGTTGGCCATCTTCGCACATGCTTTGATATCTTGGATCAGTATGGTATGAAGCTTAATCCAACTAAGTGTACGTTCGGCGTGACATCTGGAGAGTTCCTCGGATACATCGTTACACGGCGAGGCATTGAAGCTAATCCAAAGCAGATCGCCGCTATTCTCGAGCTCCCGTCGCCGACAACTAAACGCGAAGTTCAGCGACTTACCGGACGTATCGCGGCACTTAACCGATTCATATCCAGATCAACGGATAAGTGCTTGCCTTTCTACCAACTTCTTCGCGGTAACAAGCATCTCGAATGGAATGAGAAGTGTGAAGAAGCCTTCACCGAGCTGAAGAAATACTTGTCCACTCTGCCAGTTTTATCCAAACCAGAAACCGGCGAGACGCTTTATCTTTACATCGCGATTTCAAAGTTCGCAGTCAGCAGCGTTCTTGTTCGAGAAGATCGCGGCGAGCAGAAGCCAATTTTCTACACAAGCAAGTCTCTCGATGGATCGGAGTATCGTTATCCAACTTTGGAGAAATTCGCCTTTGCCGTGGTTATTTCTGCGCGGAAGCTACGCCCGTACTTCCAGTCTCACGCAATCGTGGTCCTGACCGATCACCCTCTTCGTACTTTCCTCCATAGCCCAAGTCAATCCGGACGACTCGCTAAGTGGGCTATCGAACTTAGTGAATATGACATCGAATACCGAAACCGAATAGCAACGAAATCTCAAGTCCTAGCAGATTTCTTGGTCGAACTCCCACCGGAGCTCGTCGAAGATAAGCCGGTGACACAACCCTGGATTCTTCACGCCGATGGTTCATCGTCCCATAAAGGATCCGGAGTCGGAATTCGTCTAAAATCACCCGAAGGAGAAGTTATCGAGCAGTCGTTTTGTCTCGGCTTCCCAGCATCCAACAACGAAGCCGAGTACGAAGCATTGATTGCCGGACTACGACTCGCCAAAGGCATCGGTGCCGAGCACGTACACGCCTACTGCGACTCTCAACTCGTGGCTAACCAGTTTCACGGCGAATACGAGGCCAAGAACGACCGCATGGACGCATACCTCAAAGTCCTTAAGGATGTCGCTTCGGAGTTTTCTACCTTCGAGCTTACAAAGATACCTCGAGATGAGAATGCAACCGCCGACGCCTTAGCCGCACTCGTGACTAATTCCGATCCTGACCTTCGGTGAACCATCCCAATTGCGGCAATCGAGCGACCAAGTATCGAGCCCGCTCCGAACTGCAACATCATTACAAGACGATGTGACTACGAAAACCAACCCAATCTCGCCCCACCACTCACCCGGAGGACGAAACCCAAAGAGGTCATTCCCGATCACAACAACGATACGGACGAGCTCAATGGTAATGAATCCGATCCCGAAGACGAATCTGAAGGACAACACGTTCCAATCGATATAGAGGCCGAAGGCGAGGACGAACCCGACGATTGGACCTTAGAAATCGTGGGATACATCGGAGACAGAACAGTCCCTACGGATAAATGGGCAGCTCGGCTCCTTAAGGCTCGCACAGCTCGATATGTGGTCATTAAAGGTACTCTTCTCAGATGGGATGCTTCCGGTGTACTTTTGACTTGCGTTCGCGGCAACGACATCATGGAAGTAATGCAGAAGGTTCACGAAGGAGAAGGAGGCAATCACTCCGGAGCTCGGTCTTTGGCATTCAAGATCAAAAAAGCTGGCTATTACTGGCCCACTATGCTTTCTGATTGCGAGAAGTATACGGCACGCTGCGAGAAGTGCCAACGTCATGGTCCGATGATCAACCTTCCTACCGAGCTCCTGATGACCTCGACCGCACCATATCCTTTCATGCGCTGGGCAATGGACATCATCGGTCCCTTTTGCCGATCTACGACTCAGAAGCAATACGTTCTCGTCGTCACGGACTACTTCACCAAATGGGTTGAAGCCGAAGCATATCCCGAGATTCATGGAATCGATGTCAAAAAGTTCGTCTGGAAGTTCATCATCTGCCGACACGGAGTCCCGTACGAGATCGTTACGGATAACGGAACCCAGTTCACTTCGATCAGTTTCCAAAATTTTTGTGCTAAGTGGAAGATCCGACTTAGTTTCTCTACCCCACGGTATCCGCAAGGAAACGGACAAGCCGAAGCCACAAACAAGACCATCATCGACGGACTGAAGAAACAACTCGATACTGCTAAGGGAACTTGGGCAGACGAACTCGACGGCGTCTTGTGGTCTCACCGAACTACACCGCAACGCTCGACCGGTCAGTCACCATTCTTCCTCGCTTATGGCATAGAAGCTATGTGTCCAGCCGAACTCAACGTCCCAAGTATTCGCCGAACTATGCTTACCCAGCAACCCGACGCGAATGACAACATGATGATCGACGCACTCGACTTAGTTCAAGAACATCGCGAACGAGCATTGCTCCGGATACAGAACTACCAACAACTTGCAGCTCGTTACTACAACCAAAAAGTTAAGGGCCGTCACTTTGAAGATGGCGACCTCGTTCTTCGCAAAGTCTATCAAAACACAGAAGAGAAGAACGCAGGAAAACTTGGCGCGAACTGGGAAGGACCATATCAGATTATGAAGGTTGTTAAGCCCGGTGTTTATCAACTCATGAAGTTAGATGGAACTCCGATCCCGCGATCTTGGAACTCAATGCATCTCAAACGATACTACTATTAGTTCGTTTCGAGCTTCGGAAAAAAAAAAAAAAAAAAAAAGCCTCCGAACTACTTAGTCGGAGCAAAAACCCCTTTTGTACTTAGAACTACGAATGGCTTGATCCCTTTAAAGGGTACGTAGGCAGCTCATAACCGAGTCCAGCTATAACATCAATAAAATTTTATTAAGTCAAATATGACTAAGTTTTAGTTCGGAAATCACAAGGGACCGAACTCCTTGTCTTTACATCAACTTCCTGGCCAGTTGTTCGATAGCATTCCACATGAATGCAAACTTAAAAGCCGAGATCCGTCTCGCGAGCACCCACATGGTGTCGTGGTTAAGCCACATATCAAAAGCCGGGCCCAGACCCGCAGTTGAATTTCTAAGTCACCAAGAACAATAAGTCGAGCACATCTCGCATACTTAGGTTCGACTTAGAAAAACCTTGAACTCGTTTCGTGCGTTTACAGGAGTTCGAACTAGTTCACTCTTCCAATACGAAACGATTCACTTGGGTTCCCCAGGCCGAGCTTAAACGCTCGCACAATAAGCCGAACTCCTCAGATTCGCAGCATAAGCCGAGTTCACAACACTTGCAAAACGTAAGCCGAATTATCGCAATTCGCTATCGAAAAATAAAAGTTGGTTCAAATAGCATCTACGATATGCCGCTCTAGTACTTTAGCATTAATCACAAATTGTTACCGACGTAAGAGGGTCGAAAGCTAAGTTATATACCAATCTACTACTTTAAGAAAACAAGAAAAAAGACGGACGAGCATATAATTAAAAACCTCCCGAGAGGCAAATAAAGTCAAAACCCACCAAGGGCTCGGAATAAGAGTTACAAAAGGAAAACCCATGCAAGGGCAGTTAAGTTCGAGAATAAAAGAACAGGAAAAGATTAAACGGTCTTCGAAGCAGCAGCGTTAAGTATGTCCTCGTTGAGCCGAACCGCTCACCCCTCGCAGGATCCTGCGCACTTTGGGTCACGTTCGCAACCGGAATATCATCTTCCTCCACGAACGGAGACATCCTCTTGTCCTCCTCGGTGAGAACGCAAGCATCGATTGCATGGAAGTCCTCCAGCGCCTTGGCATGTTTTGCTTCAATATCGGCAACCATTTCTGGCGGGACCTCGTACAAGCCCTTCTTCCGCAACTGCTTGATGAAACCGAGAACTCCCGTAAGTTGGTTGACCACCAAATACGGCTTGCGAGCACGGTCCGCGTCGTCCAAACTACGGATAACTTTTTCCAGGCGTTCGCAAGCCGTGTCATGGACTTTTCTCGCTCAGCCCTTCCAACGTGCAACCAATTCTCGTAGCCTCTCTCGGTCTTACTCGAACTCCCTCGCCAGCATATTTTGAGCCTCAGTCAATTCGGCTCTCACCGCCTTTAGCTCCGCGCTCTCCTGTTTTAATAACTCCACCGAAGAGTGCAAGATTTCATTGATTTGGAGCTCGGTCGCAAGACGTTCCTCTGCTCTCGCAACCCTTTCCTCGAGCTCGGTGACCCTTACTTGCTCGTCAAACAGTGCCACCTCGTAAGCGGCAACTAGATTGTTGGTTTGGCTAGCAAGCTGCGGAAAAGAAATCTCGAATCAGAACTCACACTTAAGATAATTAAATAAAGAGAGTGGAATCAGAAGGTTACCACAGCAGTTGTACGTGCGATTCCCTTGTACATGTTAGGGAACCGGAGCTCGGGGACCGATGGGAGACTCGGGACCTCGGTTGAGATTTTATGGTATAGTTCGGCACAAGCATCGACGTTCTCCTCGAAGGGGGTTTCTTCGTCATAGTCAAAGAAAACCTTGGCCCTTTTAGCTGGCTCTGAGCCTGGAGATCCTTCGGTCTGGTCCCTTTCCTGTCTTTTTCTGGACCGAGAGGCTTCAGCTCGATCCTGAGGTAGTGCAAGATCCGACGTTACGGCTGTCGGTGGCTCGGCTTCAGCAGGAGCATCTTGTGCTCGGGAGGAATCTTCAGTCCTCTTAGTCTTCTTCGAAGACTTCTTCTTTTTCAGATTTCTCTGACCAGCATGGTCAGGGGAGTTCGCGGCGAGCTGCGAATCCTCAGGTTGCACCTGGAACACGTCGGTGGCAGCGGTAGGGTTCGGAACCGTTTCAGTCGGTTTTTCCTCGTCAAAAAGAGTGGGAATTTCATCCAAGGAAAGCATTCTGGCAGCTCGGGATCGTTTAGCTTGCGGCTTCGGTGCCCTACGTCTAGAAGGGGCTCGGGCCTATTAGCTTTGGTTTTCGTGGCTTTGGTTCTCGGGCGGAACCTGAAAGGAAAATATATCAAGGAGGAGTTCGGAGTAAATTCAAAATCAGAGAAGTAGAAAGAAAGAACTCAAGAGACAAACCTGCTTTCTTAGCTCGGCGATCGAGAATTTCCTCCCAAACTTCAGGCCAGCGACGCTTGCCGGCTTCGCTGAAGGCTGCTTCGAACTCGGAGGTGAGTCCGGAATTGAGGATGAGACTTGGGAGATGACGACCTGCGAAGACCCGAGAAAGAATTAGTCAGATACAGAAATGAAAAATCAACAAAGTACAAGTTCGTCTAGAGCTACCAATCGGAATCTTCCACTCCGATTGAACTGGGATGTCAGAGTTGCTGACAGTGAGATCGTTCATCTCTAGGAAAAAGTATAAGGACTCCCAGTCGTTGAATTTACTGGGTTTGGGACCGGTCACTATGTTCTTCTTCGGCTTAGCATTAGCGGCGAAGAACCATTCCTTGGACTTATGGATGTTCACCGAGAAGAGATCTTCGAACAATCGACTGGAAGGAAGTTGGCCGAGTTCGTCGCACAAAGTAACAAACCCCACATAGTTCGTCACTGAGGCTGGCATCACTTGTGAGAGAGCTACACCACGCCGATTACAATACCCGAGAAGACGAGAGGGGATTGGAAGTGTGAGTCCGCACTGCGTGAAATAATTTAGATAGACGCAGAGAAAGCCTTCGGGCACGTCCCACGGCCGATCCCCGGCTTCGGGGATTATGAAGGCGACTTGACCTAAGAGCCCATTTTCCTCGAGCACGGCCTGGATAGCGCCCGAAGAAACCGAGGAGGACGGTGCGTTGTTGGGGCGAACGACCTTCGTCTCGGAAGAGGCGGTGAAGCATGGTTCACCGCTTCAAGGTTGTCCTCGGCGATTTCTGCTTCATTGGCGTCAGCTTCCTGACCCTCTCCTTCAGGTTCTTCGACCTCCTCGATCTCATGGTCGATACTGCCAGCGTTCGGTCCAACGCGAGCTCCTGTCTCGCGAGTTTCTGCTGTCAACCGTTCGGTAGCCTCGACTCTAGGTCTAGCACGGCTACTGCTCGCCTCCACTGACTTGGAGTTCTTGCGAACTAACTGTGGAAGGTTGCTTTCTTCCTGAGACGAGTTCGATTGATGAGGATTCGAAGAGGAGGAGCTCGGTTCAGAAGATTCGCGTCGATCTTCCGGAAGGATTTGATTGGAAGATGAGTTAATGGAAGAACTGGAAGACATTTTGAGTTCGGAAGAACAGATTTAAAGGAGACCTAAGAAGAATGAAGAACAGCTTGAAAATCGACCGGAAAAGATTGAAGATCGAACGGAAAGTTTGACGATAGCTCGGAAAAATCAAGGGTTCGCGGCGGCGAGCGTTGAAGAAACGAGAGGAAACAAAGAACAAAAGCTAGAGAGAGAAATGAAATCTAGAGAGAAGGGAGAGCAGCGTACCTTATATATGCTTGAGGCGAGAATAATGAATGCGAGAAGAAGTTTGCCTTTTATACACAGTGGGAATCGTGGGTTCCTCGATTTTCGCAAGGATCCCGTAATTCACGCGCCTCATTGAAGACAGGGGCGAAATGTCCGGGAATGCGAATCGACGGCAGTTGCCGAGCTCGGTTCATGATCCATTAACTAAGAAATGAGTTCGACTGAAAGTCATCCCCTTTCACCGAACTGAAGGGGGGGCTAACTGTTGGAGGTGAAAACCGCACCCCGGTTTTCTCTGGTACAAACCAAGATCGGCAAACCATAAGCCCGGTTTACGAAGGGACGTACCGAGAAAAGATGGGCCGAACAAAGATGGGCCGAATACGGCCCATCGGGCCGAGGTCGGTGAGAAACCTCTCGAAGAAATAGAGAGTTTCCATGAGCTCGGTCGAAACAGGAAAGTTTCCTAATGGAAAAAAGAAACTTGGGAGAGAAAAGGAAAGGAACCGAGAGAAAAGGAAACTCCTCTCGGTCCCATATCGTCTAAGGCAGGCTTGAAGACCGACTTAGGAGATATATATAAAGGGAGACGAATCGACACCAGAGAACACAAGTTATTTTCCCGAGAAGACTTAAAGACTGAGAACTCATTACAATAGCTTCTTAATCGCATTAAGTCTTAGTTCGTTATTACCTATCAAAATAACTGAACTCAGTTGTATTTTGCTTGATTCGATCTAATAAAACCGAGCTTCCGATCTAAATTACTGTTTAGTCCCTTGTCGATATTTGCATATCAACAGGTTTGAATGGTCTTTCCACCTCCATGTAGGAGTCCGCTCCTTGGTGAAGGGGGTGGCGACGGAAGGCGATCTGCGGATGAGTTCGCGTAGGGTCGCCGGGTTCTGCTGAACTCAGGTGTGACCATCGACGGATATGTTGTAGTGGTCTGCTTGGGAATGGTTCCGAAGCAGACCGGGATTGTTAACTGCCTGTTCGGAGGGGTTTGAACAGGTGAGAAGTTGAGAGTTGTTCGCGGGATGTAGGCATCCTCGCCTATCTTACGGCCGAGCTCGAACTGCTGCCTCTGGATGGTCAGTTCAAGTTCGCGTTGCCTTTCGGTCAGGAGTGTCATGGCGCGGTATATTTTGGCCGCTTCTTTGACGCTAAGATGACAGCGCACCGGTAGCAGCCCGATCGACGTCGGATCTGTGGATGAGACGGGGTTACGAGAGCTATTCTGCTCCTGAGGTGGCGCGTTGCGACCCGCCTCGATCGGAGGTACGCTTTGGGTCGCAACCGTGGTAGTTCCCACGGGTGCTG